AAGTTTATTATATGTGTTCGAAACGAATGAGTAAACCTTATCATGAATGACTAAATTTCAGTTTAAGATGAGAAACTAACAAGATAATACATTCAATATTTAGAACTTATGGTTATACATTTTGCTCAACATATTACAAAGTGTTATGAAAGTTATAAGCTGTTAACTAGTTTTTAACCGTTCTGCACTGTTTTAGAAAAAATCATAGAAAAATCATACGAAGTCGAAAACTGAATCCGTAAATTCTGAGAGTTCATAAAATGTGTCTAGTTTGTTCATAATTTTTATTATGATTTTTGGAATTCTTTAACTTGTGTTAAAATGTTCATATTCATAGACTGGTCCGAATTCGTTTTTGAAATGATAGGCAGTTTTGTAAAAATCACTATAAATCGTAGAAAAATCGTATGGTGATGTGCAAGTAGTCATTTTAAAGGTATGAACCTGAACTATTTTCACCTAATACAGTTTTGAAAACTAAAATGCTTAAGTTGACCAAAACAGTCCGTGAAAGGAGTTGAACTTTTCTGATGAAGGTTGTTAAATGAGTTTAGTTGTGTTCTTGGTGTTTTAACTTGTATTCCCCCCTTAAAAACTTAAGAAAAACATGAAAAGATAGGGGTATGAACTCACCTTGAGTGATTTCAGTAGATGGATGATGGAGAAAAGAAGTGTTCAACTCAAGAACACTTGGGAGATGCTTGAAGATTTGAAGATCTACAACAAATATGACGATATTTGTGTAAGCAATCTATGATTTGGATGAAGGATAGTAGAATATCTGAGTGTAGGAGTAAGATACTTACCAAATGTAGAAGGAAAGCTTGGATACAAGCCTTGAATCTCGAAATCTAGAGAGAGGAAGTGAGAGAGAATGAAGTTGTCACTTGGTGGAAAATGGAGTAATGTGAGGAGAGAGGAGAGTTTTCCAGCTCTTGACCAAGTGTGTGGCTGAAAAATGGTGGGAAAAGTACTATGGAATGACTGGGTATGGTGGAAGGACAAGGGGTTGTACTATGGAGGTATGGGGAGGTTGCTTGTGTCATACACTAAAGCAAAGTCAACACTCCACCCATAAATCTTACCTACTAGATTTTATTCTTAGGCAAGGATTTTCTCCAAAATATAATTAAAATATGAATATTTGGGGTTTATTATGTTAAAATACGAGTTTGGGTGAAAATCCCGCGTTAAAATCTCGAAAAACGGGCTCAAAACGCTAAAAATATTGAAAACCGGGCAAAAACTGCCAAATTCCGAAATTTGGGGCCGGAGGTTCGGTCCTAGTCCTTAGAACCGAAAGTAGAAGAAGAAACCGAGAGAGGGGTTCGGCTGCGAGGGTCGCCTCTCGGACCGAAGGTGAGGCTCGGTTGTGCATGGGAACTGAGAGGTCTCGCAGGCTGCTCATCAGGAGGGACCGAGGGTCAAGATCTCGGACCGAATGTGTAGCCTTCTCGGACCGAAAGTCCTAGTCCTCTCGGACCGAAAGTGAGAAGGGAAGAGCAGAAGGTCAGGCTAGGTTCGGAATGATTCAGGGGACCGAAATGGACAGAGCGCTCGGTCCATTTCGGTTGAGAGGGTTTCGGTTCTCAGGAGGTTCGGCTCCTAAGAGGAGTTTCGACTCCTAAGAAGAGTTTCGGCTCCTTAAGGCTGTTTTTCGCGTAGACTTCCGTTTTCGAGCGGTTTTCGACTAAATTAAGGGCCGGGGATGCCCCGAGTGATTATAAGAAGTTGAGAGAGATTTTGAGAGAGATTTGGGAGAGATTTCACATACTTGGAGAGATTTCTCATACAGAGAGAGATTTGGGAGAGATTTCACATACTTGGAGAGATTTCTCATACAGAGAGAGATTTGGGTGAGATTTCACATACTTGGAGAGATTTCACATACAGAGAGAGATTTCACATTCTTGGAGAGATTTCTCATACAGAGAGAGATTTGGGAGAGATTTCACATACCTGGAGAGATTTCTCATACAGAGAGAGATTTGGGAGAGATTTCACATACTTGGAGAGATTTCTCATACAGAGAGAGATTTGGGAGAGATTTCACACACTTGGAGCGATTTATCCTACTTAGAGAGTTTTGGGAGAGTTAGAGTGAAAGAGATTGGGAGAGACTTCTTTTGTGACCTTTTTGAATGTTTGGCTTCGCAACGCAAGGTTCTTACACTATGTTAAGCCTTGTTATGAGTGTTATATGCTCTCGAGGGGTATGGAATAATGTCCTATCGAGTAGATTCATCACTTACCCTGATTAGGTTTTAGAACTTCCGAACACGTGAAAACTCTAAGTGATACTTTATATTAAGATTGTGAGTAGGTACAATAAGAGTCATGATGGAAACCCTAATATACAAGGGTTAGATGAGTTGACCGGTTTGACTTGTTGACTTTGACTTGGCCAAAAATTGACGGTTGTCACACTTAGTATGTTTGATCTGTTTCTCATAATAGTATGTTCTGTTTGTTTCTCATCATAGTATGTTCTGTTTGTTTCTCATCATAGTATGTTCTGTTTGTTTCTCATCATAGTATGTTTGACTCATGTATGAACTGACTCTTTGTATGCTTCATTGTACTAGAAGTAATGAATAGTATCTTCCTAAACTATACCTATTATAGTTTACTAACGTTTTACTTGAACTGTTATTGAAAAGACTCATTTATCTACTAAGTTATGCTTGTACTTTAAAAACGGAGTTTGATTAACTATAAAGTAACATAACTTTAAAAAGAGTTTTTGAAATTGTTTTGATCACTTATAAAAGACATAAGTAACATTTTTAAAGATGTTTATAACAAACAATTACACAATTATCATTGTGTTCAACTTGTATTCCCCCCCTTAAAAGCATTTAAAACAGTTAAAAGATTCATTACGGGGTATGAACTCATCTGATGTGGGTGATGAATATAGTGTTTATAAGCAACTATATGAAAGAAAACACCTTCCGGGACTAAGAAACACTTTGACCAAGTGTTGGAATCACACGTGATTCATCAAAGGAGAGTGGAATGGCAATACCATGAGTTTACTACCATGGGTTTACGGCCAAAGGGAGTTTACGGCCGTAAACTCATGGTCAAACTTGCATAAGTGTTTGTTTGAAGGCTAGGGAAGCTTGAGGGACTTTTGCTCTACACAAGGATGAGAAAGACCAATTCAATGTAGGCTTTTGATGAGTTTACGACCCAAAGGAGTTTACAGCCGTAAACTCATGGTCATTATGCATTTTAGAGTAGTTTAAGGTCCTATTCTCATCAATGAAGGGTTCTAGGTCACAAGCTTTGCATCTAGGAGGGTTTATGGCCAAAATGGCACCCTTAAAGGGGTTTACGGCCATGGGAGATGGATTGGCCGTAAACTCCTTTTGTTATTGTGTTCTTGATGATTTCAAGTCTCTAAGCATGAGTCCTAACTAGATATGAAGTATAGGGAAGAGTACTTACGATATAGAGGCTTGAAATGGTTGATTTTGGCCAAGAACATTAGTGTGTGTTCTTGGTGTTCTTGGTGAAACTTGAAGATCTAAGAAAAGAATGATTTCATGGATGAAATCAAAGAGTGTAACTAGGAGATGAAGTGTAACAACAAATCAAGGAAAGAATACTTACACTTTTGAAGATTTAGAATGAAAATCGTGATGATAGTTGAGAGAGAAATGTGGTGTTCTTGAGGTGGAAGTGAGATAATGAAGGAAGATGAAGAATATGAGCATATAAGGGGGAGTTTACGGCCCACCTTGAGTTTACGACCGTAAACTCAAGTGTTGTGGCCGTGAACTCTCTAAGAGAAGGTTAAGGCTCGATTTCTTGGACAGTGTCTCTAGCAGGTACATTCTAACACTTATTCCTTAAGTGTACTATGCTTAAAACTCCTTAGAATGACCTTTAACCGGGCTAGAACTCATTACCAATGAGTCTGACACTCAGTTGAGTTGATTGACTGGGCTTTAAAAGTAAAAATTTTCCGGGTTGTCACACACAACACATGATTTTTTTGGATACAACAGAATCACTTGTACTCATACTCATTCTATTTTCTCTGTAATTATTCATTTCAATCAATAAAATCATCAACACAGGTGATCGTTATCACCTGCCAAGGTTTTATGTCAGAGATCCTAGCAAGTATCAAGAGTTTTCTTTGTAAACGAATTGTGTTGCTTTGAGTTATATTTCATACTTGTTTTATACTGAACATCACAACCTCTCATACACTTTGGTATATTTTTGTTCGATTATTTTTTGACCAAAACAATATACATTTGGTTATGTATAGAGACGTAAACGAGCCTTGACACTAGTCGAGCCATACCCGTTTAAAGTTATACAATCGAGCTCGAGAACGAACTCGACTCGTGAAGCATATATGAAGCTCGGGATCTGCTCGCTAATGCTTGTTCGTCCGTGATGCTCATTAAAATCAGGATCTGCTCGTTATTTTTCATATTTTATTAATATATAATAATATATAAAATAAAAATATATTATACAAAAACTTATTTAAGTCCGCGAGCTTAAAGAAGTCCTCACATGCAGGCTTGAGATTAGACTCGTTTATTAAATGAGTTTTATTCTAGGCTTGAATTTGGGCTCGTTATGACTCGGTTTGTTTCAAAATTTTAACGAGCCGAACCCAAATAACTCGGTTCGTTTGCATCCATAGTTACGTAGTCATTTAGATTTCAAAATTACATAATTATTTAATAAAAATTAAATATACTAAAATAGTCGTAGCTATTCAGATTTCAAAATTTACATAAATTATTTAATAAAAATTAAATATTAAATCTACTAAAATAGTAAAAATTAATTCTATATTTTTACTGTAAGAATCAGAACCTATTTTACAAGGGTTTACAAAGAAATCCGAGCAACAGAAGCCATGTGCCCACTTTGTTTCCGGTCAAGCATCGGCCTCCCCTGGCGCTAAAAATCTTAAACCCTAAACCCTCTATCACTAAACCTCTCAAAGGTTCACCTTTACTTTCGCCATGGCTTCGGTGGCGATAACCAGAAAAAACCACCTCGTCTCTTCTCTACTCTACAGTATCCGATGCCGAAGATCATATATCCGTCGTCCAATCACCACCAGCCGCCTCAGCTTCACGACGTCAACTTCCACTTCCCCTTCGCCGGCAGATACAGGAAATTCCCGTTTCCAGAACCAAAGTCCTTGAAGTATTCAAAGAAGAATTCGAAATTGGATCACGCCTACTCACGTTTGAAACAGGGAAGATCGCGAGGTTCGCCAATGGTGCAGTTGTATTAGGCATCGACGATACTAAAGTGCTCTCCACAGTTTGCTCATCTAAAGGCGATGGTGTCCGCGATTTTTTGCCTCTCACTGTACGTATATCTCCTTCCATTTCGATTCTATTCATTTTTTGAATTGTATAACTTTTTGACCGAGGCTTTCATTTTAATTTCTGATTTAGGTCGATTATCAAGAGAAACAGTTTGCTCAAGGAGTGATTCCAGGCACATATATGCGAAGAGAAGGTGCTCCAAAAGAGCGAGACTTCTATGTGGTCGGCTAATTGATCGCCCTATTCGGCCACTCTTTCCAGCTGGGTTTTACCATGAGGTTCAGGTATGTCACCTGTTCGTTTTTCAACTCTTTCACCATTTGTAGCTGTTTGCATGCTTTCTCATCCAGTGTTTGTATAGGTGATGGCTAGTGTGCTTTCTTCAGATGGGAAGCAAGATCCAGATGTAATGGCAGCTAATGCCACTTCTGCTGCTCTTATGTTATCAGATATACCATGGGGTGGCCCCATTGGAATGATTCGTGTAGGAAGGATTGATGGGCATCTTGTTGTAAATCCAACCATGGATGAGGTAGTAATCTTCTTCTCCTCCTCCTCACTGTTAGAAACTACTATATCCATCTTGTATACATCAAATTGCAATAAATAGCAACATACCTTTGTCTTTTACTTTATTTCTTATTTAGTCATTGGACTATAAATATCGTTATTAAAACCATTGTGCTTCTCAAAATTGATTGTTTTGGCTAAATGGTTATATTAACGACTTTTGAAAGTTGAATGATTCTTGCTATCGATTCCAATTTGCTCACTAAATATATCAAAGGGTTAAATGCAAGAAAAAGCAACATTAACATACTTCTGTTTAGTTGTTTACTATAGCATCCTACTTACATTTCACATTTCTTCCTATTTACAACATTGTATTTTGAAAAATCTACACAATTATAGCAATATCATCCAAATATACAGCAATTTTCACTGCTTTAGTTGGATAAAAATTTCAAAATACAGTTTCTTAATAAGAAAAAGATTGTGTTTTCAAAGTACAATGCTATAAATGGTTTGATTTTTGTAAAAATTGCAATACTGAATACCCTATATCTCATTGTTTTCTACAACGGATTTGATGCAGCTTAATCTAAGTGATCTCAACCTTGTATACGCCTGCACAAAAGACAAGACTTTGATGTTAGATGTACAAGCAAGTGAAATTTCCGAAAAAGACCTTGAAGCTGCATTTAGGTTTGCACATCCTGAGGTAAGTTATAAGTCATAATTCATAAAAATCTTGGTTAATATTTTCATAAAAATCAAGAAAGTACTTTTCAAGAGTCTAAATGAGGTAGCTTTTGATTATACATACAGGCAGTTAAATTCATCGAACCTCAGTTAAGACTTGCTGAAAAAGCAGGGAAACAGAAAAAAGAATATAAATTATCATTGGTGTCAGAAAGAACAATGAATAAAATCCGTGATTTGACTGAAACGCCCATTGAAGCTGTTTTTACAGATCCTTCTTATGGAAAGGTACATTGAGTTTATATGGTATGTCATATTTTGTGTAAGCATCTATTATTTTAATTAATTAATTTTTTTTTCTTTTGATTGCTTGTAGTTTGAACGTGGAGAAGCCTTAGATAAAATTGCACAAAATGTGAAAGGTATTTTAGAGGAAGAAGGTGATGAAGAAAGCTTAAAAGTTTTATCAAAAACAGTTGATACAGTGCGAAAGCAGGTGCCTTTTTATATGCCTATCAAATCGTACTTCTTAATGCTTTCTTCTAAACAATCTTTTTATGAGTAAATTACAGAAGTGGTCCCTGTAGTATGCGTGAAATTTCAAGTTCAGTCCAATTCTTGAAATTGTCTCAATGTTGTCCGTAAGTTTCCATTCTGTTGCGGATCCGTCAAAAGTAGAACGTTTGATGTGTAAATGTAAAATGACAATTTTACCCCTGTTTTCTCCTTTTCTTATTATTCAAAAAATGCGCCCCAACCCAACCCAGCCACATCATTTGAAATTTTATAATATTCTTTTTTTTAATAACAACAATAACAGTAAGAATAATACTAATAATACATAATAAAAAATAACAGAAGGATAAAATGGGGGTATAAAGGTCATTTCACATCCATTTAGGAGAGACTAAATCTGCAACGAAATGCAAACTTCAAAAGTTGGACTGAGCTTGCGATTTTGTGCATACCACAGGGACCATTTCTGTAATATACTCGTCTTTTATTAGGACAACAAAGTAGGACGTTGAATATGTGTAAAATGACCATTTTACCCCTGTTTTCTCATTTTCTTTTTATTCGAAAAATGCGCCCCCGATCCACCCCCACCTTAAACACCAACATGTGAAATTTTATAATTTACTTTTTGAATAACAACAATAATAGTAAGAATAATACTAATAATACATAATAAAAAATAACAGAAGGATACAATAGGGGTATAAAAGTCATTTCACAACGATTTAACATCCATTTAGGAGAGACTAAATCTGCAATAAAATGCATACTTCAGAATTTGGACTAAACTTGCGATTTTTTGCAAACCACAAGGACCATTTCTGTTATTTACCCGTTTTTTATTAGGACAACTAAGTAGGACGTTGAATATGTGTAAAATGACCATTTTACCCCTGTTTTCTCTTTTTCTTTTTATTCAAAAAATGCACCCCCAATCCGAAACATCCACATCCTTTGGATATAATAGGCCAATAGGGGTATAAAAGTCATTTCACAACAATTTGACATCTATTAGGAGAGACTAAATCCGCAGCGAAATGTAACCCTAAAAAATTGGACTAAACTTGCGATTTTGCATACCACAGGGATCATTTCTGTAACTCACTCGTCTTTTATTACAACAACTAATAACAAAGAAATCAATGAAAGTACATTGCTATTTTAACATTTATGCATTTAACCCAATAATTTTTATCAGATTATACGCAAAAGGATTATTACAGAAGGGTTTAGGCTTGATGGAAGGCGTCTGGATGAGGTCAGGCCTTTGTATTGTGAAGCTGGCAGTTTACCTGGATTGCATGGGTCAGCTTTATTTTCACGTGGAGATACACAGGTAGGTTATTAAATAAATTTATAATATTATAATTTCATTTATGGAGAAATAAAATATGTTTTTTTTTTTTTTTTTAGGTTTTATGTACAGTTACCCTTGGTGCCCCTGGGGACGCACAACGTTTGGATTCAATTGTGGGCCCCCCAACTAAGCGGTTTATGCTTCACTACAATTTTCCACCTTTCTGTATTAATGAAGTTGGGAAAAGAACTGGATTAAATCGTCGTGAAGTTGGACATGGTGAGTTATTATTGTTAAGAAATAGCAATCTACTTTTGTTTATTTGTGTGTTTGAGTAAATTACACGAATGGTCCCTATGGTTTGGGGTAATTTGCACGTTTGGTCCCTAACTTATTTTTTTAACTCGAAAGGTCCCTGCTGTTTGTTTTTGTTGCGCGTTTGGTCCCTGTCTTACCTAAAAAGACTATTTAGCCATTGATTTTTTAATTTATTTAAATTTAAATAATGTGGGGTAGGTAAGGTAAGGTAAAGGGAGCTGGAAGTGGGGTTGGGTTTGTGTTTATTTAAATAAATTAAAAAATCAAGGGCAAAATAGTCTTTTTAGGTAAGATAGGGACCAAACGCGCAACAAAAACAAACTGTAGGGACCTTTCGAGTTAAAAAAATAAGTTAGGGACCAAACGTGCAAATTACCCCAAACCATAGGGACCATTCGTGTAATGTACTCTTGTGTATTATAATATAATATATAGTAATAGCATCCTACTTTCATTTTCTTTTCATTACAACATGTCACCTCCAAAAAAAAAATTCTTACTTAGAGGGAAAATGACATAAACGCCCTTAAGTTTGATAGAAATGTGCAGATTTACTCTTTTGCGTATTTTAGGTTCATTAAAGCCGGAGGATTGCGATTTTTTTTTTTTCAAATTTACCCTTTTTGCAGGTTTACCTGGTAAAACCGAATATTTCTTCCAAACATAAGAGCTTTGATGAACCTAAATTACGCAAAAGGGTAAAATTGGAAAAAAGTTGCGAAGCTCTGACTTTAATGAACGTAAATACGTAGAAGGGTAAATCCGCATATTTCTGCCAAATTTAAGGGCTTTTATGTCATTTGCTCTAATTTAGACATTGTACGTTGAAAAATCCACTTAATTATATCGTTGTACTTTCAATCATTTTTGTTAGGGTTAATCTAATAAAAGACCTTATATTTTGTGTTTTTTTCCGGATTAAACCTCATCTTTATTTTTTTTCATGAAAAAGACCTTATATGTTTTCATTTTTACGAAAAAAACCCTCAACCTTCTAAATGTTTCCACATAAACCCTCAACTTTTTTAGTGTTTCCTGAAGAAATCCTCACATTTTACAACTTTTTTTTGGAGAAAAATGACTAAAAGGTCCAAATCGGAAAAAATGAAAAAAATAAAGTGAAGATTTAATCTGGAAAAAAAACACAAAATATAAGGTCTTTTCTTTTATGAGATTAACCCTTTTTGTTATTTAGACATTGTACCTTAGAAAATTATTATACCCATTTATAGCATATCATACTTTCAATCTTTTTCTTGTATTTTATTTGAAATAGATGTTTTTTAATGTGTCTTTCATGAGTCATAATATTTTCAACAACTTTAAAAATCTCTCCTAACAATTAATTATGTTAAAGAAGTAAATAGAATTATATACTTTGGAATCTTTTTGTAGGCACTTTAGCTGAAAAGGCTCTTGTTGCTGTATTGCCTCCTGAACTTGACTTTCCATATACTGTTCGTATCAATTCTGAAGTCATGAGCTCTGATGGTTCAACATCAATGGCAACTGTCTGTGGAGGTATATATGTAATTTTATTTCCACCTGAGGGTAAAAATGTCATTTTAACTTTATTGATGATGCAGGTAGTATGGCTTTAATGGATGCTGGCATCCCTTTACAGGAACATGTTGCAGGGCTTTCAGTAGGCCTTGTTACTGAAGTTGATCCATCAACTGGCACTGTTAATGAGTATCGTATACTAACTGATATTTTGGTCAGTTTTTTTTTATATAACTAAATTACGTATTTGGTCCCTGTGCTTACTTTTTGTTTGGTTTAGACCCCGAAAAGGAATCTTTTTGCAATTTTCATCCTTATTTTATGGTTTTGTTACACTTTTGTTCCCTGGGAAGTCATGTTTAACATTTTAATTTGATTAAGGCCAAATTGTATAAAAATTGTAGTTTGGACTTTTTTTTGGCTTAACCACTGAAACTTTATACTACTATTTTTTTTTTAAAGGAAAAACACAATGTTTTTTCCATTAGTCAGTTGCAAATAACAAATAGAATAATACTTTTTAGGTGAAAAATGTTTTTTTTTTTTTTTTTTAAATCGAACTTTTGATGGTTAACTTGAAAAGAAAATTTTCTTCAAGTGGTTAAACCAAACAATTTTCAAACTCTCGTGGTTTTTATAGAATTCAAAGTTTTATGTAGTGGTTTTTCTGAAAATAAAAGCAAACTCTCAATAGTTAAAATAGGAAAAAAAAAATTATTTCAGTGGTTAAACCCAAAAAAATCCAAACTACAGTGGTTTTTATGGAATTTTCCCTTTGCTTCAATTACAAAATGCTGTCCTTATAGTATACTCAAAATGACAGGTTTAGTCCAAATTTCGTTTTTGTTAAATTTCTGTCCCTGTGGTCTCATTTTGTTTCAGTTTTGGTCCCTAGGTCGTTAGCTTTTCACATTTTTATCGAAGTAAATTACAAATTTGATCCCTATGTTATACTTAAATTGACATGTTTAGTCCAAGTTCCATTTTTTTCAAAATTTTCCACATGGTTTCATCTTGTTCATTTAATACAACTACTCAGCTGTTAGTTTGTTTAAAATGACCATTTTGCCCTTGTACTAAACCCAAAAAACAGTAAACCAAAGGGCCAAATTTGTAATTTACTCTTTTTCATCTTTGTTATTGAGAACAAAACGAATCCAAATCTCTTAATAACAAAATTATTTGGTTCATCTTTAGGGTCTGGAAGATCATCTTGGGGACATGGATTTTAAAATTGCAGGGACCCGAAATGGAATTACAGCAATCCAATTGGACATAAAACCTGCTGGAATTCCTCTTGATATTATTTGTGAGTCACTGGGACCCGCATATAAAGGGAGACTCCAAATCCTTGACCATATGGAGCAAGAAATAAATGCAGCACGTGTTCAAGATGGAAAAAATTCTCCAAGATTAGGTATTATTATCAACTATTATTATAATAATTTCCATTTTAACTATTAACTAATAATATTATGTGTTTTGTAGTTACCTTAAAATATAGCAACGATGATTTACGCCGATTGATTGGACCACTTGGCGCCTTGAAGATGAAAATTGAAGAAGAAACAGGTCTGCATTAGATTTAAAAAATGTTTCTTTTTATTATTATATATAATGAAAAGCAACACTCTTATGAATAGTATACTTCTGTATTTTCATAATTTGGCCACAAAAGTTTCTTCTTTCACACTTTGGCCACAAATCTATTTTATTATTTAATACTTTGGCCACAAAAAATTTTTATGTTGACAGATTTGGTCCCTAGATTTTCATACATTGGCAATTTCTTCTCCCTTAATTTGTAGATCGGCACTTTCCACCCCTTTACTTTATAGAATGACACTTTCCACCCCCTTTACATTGTAAAATGTCAGTTTTACCCCCTCAAATTTGAACAACGACAATTTCCACCCCTTCAACTTTTATATATTGCCATGTTTGCAGGTTTAGTCCCTAGACTTTCGTATGTTGGCTATAATAAAAATTGGTTTGTATTTCTTGCAGGTGCTCGGATGTCTGTGAGTGATGGAGCCCTAACTATAGTCGCAAAGAATCAATCCGTAATGGAAAAAGTGCAAGAAAAGGTACTTGACAAAAAGCTCAAGGGTAGTAAAGTAATTTTGCATTTATTTAGGGACAAGGACAACCCACAAATGTATAATATGATCTTTCAGGTTGATTTAATAATTGGGAGAGCAATTGAAGTAGGAGGTGTTTACAAAGGGATTATAACTTCAATAAAAGAGTATGGAGCTTTTGTAGAGTTCAATGGTGGACAACATGGCCTCTTACATGTGTCTGAATTATCTCATGAACCGGTTATCTTTTTCTTCTCTCTTTATTTATATTTTTAGACTTTAGTAATAGTAACATTATTGAAAATATAAATTAAAAAAAAAATATATTTTTCAGATATCCAAAATTTCAGATGTGATTTCAGTCGGGCAGCAACTTTCTTTAATGTGTATCGGGCAGGATCTCCGTGGCAACATAAAACTCTCTCTAAAAGCCACTTTACCTCAAAAGACCAAAAAACCCGATCCGATTAAAACATCCTCGGATTTATCAAAACAAGTCGAGGATTCTCCGCCACGTCAGCAAGAACCCCAGAATTCCACATCATATTCCGCCACGTCACCGATTGTGATCCGAAGCGCTGTGGAGTGTGATGAGGAGGAGAAATTGTCTACTTTGATTTCGAGTGTCAAACATAACAGCAAATTGCCACGTGTTTCAAAGCCAAAATCTTCTTCTCAAAAACCCAAGAGTTTAAAGTCTTCAAGTAATGAGGATGAATTAGGTTGTGATTCGGGATCTAAAAAAACTAAAGGGGGAAAACCGTTTCTACTAACGGAGAAAAGAACAAATAGTGGTTCTAATTATACAAGCTCTGAAGAAGAAGAGGAAGATGATGATAAACATAAACATGCGTTTACAAATGTAGTGGATATTTCTGATTTTTTTAAAGATAGAGAATCGAAAGTAGAGGAGACTTCAATTGATGCAAAAAAGCTGAAACTTGGAACGAAAGTAACTGCAAAGATTGTTCAAGTACGTGCACGTGGATTAGTATTGGATTTGGGTGGTGGAATTAATGGGATGTATCGGTTTGAGGTATGTGTCACAAATCATATGTTAGTTGCAAGAAATAACATTCTACTTTCATTTAGTTATATTCTTATAAGAGCAATCCACAATAGGAGCTCTTATAATACAAGTTCTCTTGCAATCCACAATAGGAGCTCTTATAATACAAGTTCTCTTTTGAATCAAAAAGCTCTTGAAAAATAAAAAAAAGCTATTGGAGGAGCTTTTTCGAGACACTTGCTAGTTAGCAAGCTCTTCTCTTGAGCTCTTTTAAGTGATGTGGTGGGACCATGATTCATGTTGGAGCTCTTATAATATAAGTTCTCTTTCAAATCAAAAAGCTCTTGAAAAATAAAAATAAAAACTATTGGAGTAGCTTTAGCAAGCTTTTCTTTTGAGGTCTTTTAAGTGATGTGGTGGGATCCATAGTTTTTGCTTTGAAAAATCTATAATTGGGTAGTTTTTTTTTATTTTTTTATTTTTACACACAGAGGCTTTCAGTTTCCTCTTTAATTTGACTATGCAATTGTGAAATGTCTCGTTGTTTATTGGTTTCGATAAAATTATACATGTTTGTGGAGAGTGTGTAATTACGGTTTTAACCTTGATGGTTGATGTTACAGGGTGGTGGGAAGCAGGATTTTGAAGTAGGCAGTGAGGTACGAGTACAATGTACAAGCTTTAACAGCAAGGGTATTCCTGTAATGTCAATTGTACAGGATGATTAGAGTGATGACATGAAGATTGGTTGATTTTTTTTTATAGATAATTAATATTATATTATCTATAATGGGTTTTGTAGAATAGTGTATGGAGTTAAATGCAAGAGACCGAATTGTTGATCTCTTATTTTTACTTTGAAAAATTGTTATAATTTGAGGTAGAGCTTTATGGGTTCCTATGATCAATTGTTCATGATACCTTTTGTAAGTTGTCCCAATAAATTTAACCTATTCAAATTGTTGATCTCTTTTTAGGATTTTCTCATTAATAATTTAATTGTTGACTTTTTTTTTTAATAAATTACAAACTAATACGTTTAAATACTTTTTATGTATAATTAGTAATAACCATAAAAAGTATTAATACATCAACAAACTTAAGATGAATCTTACAAATGGTATTGTAAAAAAAAAAAAAAATTAACCTTACACAAGGAAACATATTTTGAGTGAAAAAAGGGGCAAAAAATGATTTGTTGCTGCCCAGGATCGAACTGGAGACCTTCAGTGTGTAAAACTGACGTGATAACCACTACACCACAGCAACAATTTGTTTGGCTGTGACTATTAGCTAACTCATAATAATTCAAAAGAGACTGAGACTGTAAACAGCCTAATTTAGCTAAGTTACTCCAGCTCAAACTGGAATTAAAAATGGCTAATCCAACATGATTTGTATTTAATGTTTTTAAAAAAATTCAAATCTAAATCCATAAAGATTGCGTCTTATGAGTGTATTTGTGTTTTGTACCGACGATGATGACAATGAAGGCCACGTCAACAAAAAGTGCACTAAAAATATCTTTAAAAAAATATCTTCATGTTTGAATATTCTCATTCACTAGACTTGAAATTATCATTATCCCTTCATAATTTATATATACATCTGCCCACAAAAACCTTACATTTCATTTTAATATAAAAAAGAAAAGAGATATGTCGGCTTTCCCAATATTCCGGCTGCCGGAGGTGTTGAATCCGGTCATAACCACTCATCACCGCCATGGATTCAATCGTCCAAAATTCCCTGTCTCAAGGTACCTTCAAACTGGTATTCATATTATAGTGGATTATATTTTGTATTTATATTTGTACATATGTTCATCCCTTATTTATCGGGATTTTATGTATTTATTATACCGATATCAAAAAGCACTTTGTACTAAATACTGATGCTAATAGGGACAACAAAATGTTATATTTTTTTCCCAAGAAATAGGACACAAGGACTTCCTAAGATCCAGGACACATATACACACATATATATATATATATATATATATATATATATATATATATATATATATATATATATATATATATATAGAGAGAGAGAGAGTACATCAATTTTGAAGGCCTGTGCGAAAACTAAAATTGGGCCCCTCTAAATACAACTTTTTTTTATAGAAGAAAAAAAATTTAAGGGAGTAAGTTGTAACATGAGAAAACTTAAAAAGTAACTAAATTAATTAAAACTAGAAAAATAAAATTTTATAAAAAATGAGGGGCAAAATATATAAATTTCTAAAGTTGATTTTTTAAAGAATTAGAAGATGTGTTACATTGTGAAAATGAAAGTGTAAATAAGTGGCTAAAACTGTAAGTTGGAGTAATGATGTAAATGAAGGGGAATTAAATGCATTAGCATATTTAAAAATTTGCTCGACAATTGGGATCGAACCTAAGTATCTTGAAGATGGAAAGAACGTTCTACCAGTTGAGCTAAAGAACTTCTATGCCAATATTTGCACAAAATTGTATATATTAACAAATTAATAATATAAAAAAATTGAAAATTTGAGGGTGGGCCTTGGACCACCCTGGCTCTCATATGGCTTCGCCCATGCTAAGATCCCGCCTATGTAAAAAAAGACATAAATACCATATTTATCTGGTTTGGTCATGGAAAATAACACTATGGATGTTTTCTGTAGCTAACTTTTAAGAAAAAAAAACTCGAATTAAACAAAAGTTTCATTTTGTTTAACTACTTCAAGTAGATTTTGGAAACTTTTAGTTTTTCAGTTTTATATAATTTTACATATCTAAAAGCTAGCAGTTACTTTTGTTGAACATTTTTATACAAATAAAAGCTACAACTTCTAACTGTCAACTATCAACTAGGTTTTCTAAACACGTCATATAAATCTTGTCTAGTCCATTTTCACTAGAATACTTTATTTACAGGATTATGAGACATTTGGTTGTTATTTAAAGATTGATTTTGTAAAAAAAATTAAAATTAAATAAAACTATTTATATTGATGAGCAGATGTTGTATGCGAAATCCTGTTGAGACACGAAGAAATGGTGGGAATCATTACGAGTTGCTTGGCGTATCTGTAGACTCCAATTTTAAAGAAATAAAAGAATCCTACAGAAAACTACAAAAGAAATACCACCCTGATATTGCAGGCCAACAGGTCCCCTCCATCTTTCTCTCTTTCACATCTACTATAAATAATATCCACATGTCAATTTCTGTTTTTTTTTTCAATTTTTAAAATTAAAAAGCCATATAATAGTTATACTTATATATGTAAAGTATTAAATGTAATGAATGTGATAGTAAATTGCAATAAATATTTTTCTTTCCTTTTTTATTTCAAAATTTTACTTTAAAAAAATACTTATTATTTACAATTTAACATTTTTTTCTAAATCAGCCTGTACACACACCTAGTACATATTTATCAAAATTATTAATGTAATAAATATGACTAAAAAGAACCAATATTGTTGGAAAAGTAATATACTTTTTGAAATAAATCAATTGTTGTAATCACTTAGATACACTTTCATTGATGACATGTTTAACCGATTTCAAAATTTTTTAAAAGCATACTAAATGGCTCGAAATTGTCACATCTAGTATTTATCAAAAAAAAAAAAAAAAAAAAACTAAATGTCATTTGGTTTGCTGGACTACGTGGGATTTGATTGGAATAAAATTCAATTTCATTTAATTCCCGTGTTCGGTTGCAAATGAGTATGGAATTGAATTGTGTTATTGTTGGAATTCACAAAATCCTTTGACCGATGGAAAACCAACATAATTCAACTCCCAACATTTTCCTTTGTGAAAATTACAAAAATACCCTCTTAACCCAAGCATTTTACATATAATCTCCTCTCGGCTCACGAATTCTATTTCATTTACATCTAATTAAACACATGACATAATTCAATTCCTTCATATTTAAAATCCTTCAATTCCTAATTCCTTTGACATATACATAATAAAACTTTATGAAGTGGTCAAGTTTGGTAGATATCTATTGATCAAAGTACGACTCTCCTTCCAATAAAATAAATTATTCATAATTTCATGTCATGTTTTCAGGGTCATGAACATACGCTTCTATTGAATGAAGCGTATAATGTGCTAATGAAAGACTATTTAAGAAAAGATTATGATGCTTCAATTGGCCATGTAAGGGTCGGGTTTGTTGGAGATTCATTGGACATGGGTTATAGCTCGTGGAATGGACCGTTTCGCCCTCAAGCACTCTTTGTCGATGAGAAAGCTTGCATAGGTCAAAATTTTCCTCTATGAAATTATATCCTAAACTAGAATTGCAATAAATATCTTAAATTACATTTGAACATCATTAAGTTCAAAACACATGATAAAAGGTAGGCTAGATGCAAGAAAATAGAAACATACTTCCATTTGTTTGTTTATTATCACATCCTACTTTCATTTCATTCTACGACAACAATTTAATTCAATTATTTTTCTTATTAACACATTTTACTTTGAAAAATCTGCTAAATTATAGCATTACACTTTCATTTTTTTTTTCTTATTATAACATTGTACGTTGAAAAATCCACCCGATCATAGAAATGAAAATTGCTTTGTATCTGAATGACATTGCTATAGTTAGGTAAAGTATTGAGAATAAAATTTGTAATAGGAAAAATTAAAGTACGTTTTTGTTTCTTGCATTTAAACCATTTTAGGGTGGGGCCAACAATTACAGTTATGACAGTTGAAATGTTGAATTGTAACAGGTTGTAGAGAGTGTGTGCACAATGCCCATAATACATTCAGAATGGATGAGATTATTGGATGTGCTCGAGTGAATGTTCAATTTGGAGATGATGATACTAGCATTGAGGTAACCAAAGAACTACTTGTAAATATAACATGGCTAAATGCAAGAAATAGTAACACACTTTCATTTAAACTACGATAGATATCATACTATAATAATCTATCTTTCGAAATTCCACTTACATTATTGTACTTTCAATCTTTATTCTTTTAAGCAATTGTACTTTGAAACTCTACCAACTACAACACTGTACTTCCAAATATTTCCTTTTTAGAGTATTATTTTTTTGAAAAATCAAGTATTGTAATAGGAAGAAATGAAAGTAGGATTTTACAATAAACAAACCAAAGGAAGTATGTTGCTATTTCTTGCAAAATATGTAGGATGCTAAAAGGGAAAGACTTAGACACTTAGTTATAAAAACAGGTAGCAGTGGACTCATGCCCAATGAATTGCATCCATTGGGTGGAAAGAGAAGAGTTAGCAATACTTGAATACTTTAACATCCCACGACCTAAACAAGGCCATGGTGTATTTGGACAAGGATGGGAAAGACCTCAAAATGTCTTCATGGCAGCCAAGACCTTCCAAAAACAGCAACAATCTCAATCCCAACAAAAAAACGGTAATTTTATTATTATTTTGTTTTCCAAAAATGGTAAGAGTATTATTTTATAATATTTTTAATGATATTTCTTGTAAGTGTGATGCAAATTTTTTTTACAGTAAGATGCGATGTGGAACAAGAAACAGAAGCACAGGCACATGCTCGAGAAAGTGCAAGCTTAAAATTGGAGATGGAGAAATTTTCGGGATTGTGGGAGTGGGTGAAAAAAATATCGGCTTTTTAGATGAAAAACTTAGGTTACTATAGTTAAAATGTAAATATATAATTATGTATGAATATATATGTATGTATATATAAAGAAACTTTTTAAAATGTATACAAGTAAACAGAAGTATCGTTTTATACAACACTTTGCTTCAAGAATCAAGAGTTAAATCTCCTTTGCCACCTATGCTGTTCCAAAATGAAACAAAACACAAGCGCATGAAGTTGAATTATAACCAAATATTTAACAAATCTTGGATGTTTTTAAGGGGAAAATGTCAGTAAATATTCGAAAGAATTTCCACCTAGGTACCTCAACAACTTTTTATTTTGTTCCATTGTTGAGAAATTAGTTAATTTCTAACTTGTTATGTGTTGAAGTAATGATATGGCGAAAATCGCTGCTGACATGGCAACATATTCGAAACACAAGTTTCAGTTTTGTTACAATACTGTCAAAATTTATACAAAATCTAATGTTTTAACAATTAATATAAAAAGACACATAAATAAAGTTTATTTGGAATCTGACATAAAGAAGGTGGATGATGACACAACATATGAGAAAATGAACTCATAACGAAAGTTTCTATTTACTATGATGACTTGGAGTGTTTATACAAATAAAAAAAATTATTCTACCTGAAAATTAAAACTTTGTTTATAGATTTTCTTTCAATATATAAATCAATGAAGACGACATTTTCCTGTTCCCACACAAACTGCACACTCCTCTGCATCTCCAGCAATATGGCTTAAGCAATGTTTAATTCTCTCATCCACTACATCCTGTTTACAACAAAAATGAAATATAACAAGGGTAAAATGGTCATTTCACTCAGATTCAGACAGTTTATTTAGTAATAGTAAAATTAAAATACAAGAAAATAAAAAAAAAAAAAAAAAAATGAAGATATTGGTAATTTGGTACCAGAAGAAGTGAATGTAGTCCAAGAGGTGCAGTTATCAAATATGAGACATCTGGATAGTCTTTTGCAGCTTCAGCAGTTAAGGAAGGAATATCCTCAAAAAAAAAAAATTATTTATTTATATCAATAAATTATTTTGTCAAGAATAAAAAAATATAAAAGTAGGATGTTAAATTTGGTATACCTGATGCCAGTGTCGCCCTGGGAAGAGGAAGAAAGGGCTTACAATCACACGATTTGCACCTTTTTCAACACAAGCGTGAAAGGCGTCTTGTATTGATGGTTTTGCTAGCTCCTATTTTTATATATCCAAATAAAACTTTTAGTAAAATTTTCATTAGTTTCAATTAAAAACATTTATACCTTAGAAAAAAAAACAAAAGAAGTACCATATGAGCAGGCTCAACAATTGGGTACCCAGTTTTCGCTATAAACATTGCCACAAATTCATCTGCAACCCATCAAATCACCACAAATACATCAATTTATAGGTTCCTTACACTTCCTCAAGTTTCCCATGATTTTTTTTTTCCAGATATTTTTAAAACATCATTTACTTGATGAGAAAGAAAACACATCACTTACTTAGCATAAGATTGGACTCCTTTCTACGTGACCCATGATCAACAATAATCACCCCATCTCTCTTTCCAATCCCATTACTTCTAACACCACCATTTCCATTTCCCAAACAAGATCTTGTTTGTAAACTCAATCTAGGGTTTCCTTTCTTTCCAAATTTAGTTGATGTAGGGATTTTTTTATTCCCATAATTCAAGCACAAACTGATCATCAATCGTAAACATACATTTCAATTTCATGCTATGCGACAAATTTAGTCAATAACGTTAATTACAGCAAACAAAAATTGGACTTGAGAACATGATTCAAAGTGATGAATTTGAAGTTAATGTGAAGTAATAGAGAAATGAAATACCTTTTGATGTTTAAATTGGATGGTGTAGTGCAATTCATCTTTGACCTATTTGATAAAATTGAATGAATAAGTGCATAGAGAATTCAACTCAACTACCATTTCAATTATCTGAAACATTTTTAAAGAAGACTTTTTAATAAAAGCTAAGGGTGAATAATGGATGATCTTTTCATAACATTATGTAATTATATTTTATATAACACAATTGATTCAAGAGCAATTTGAAATTCAAATCAACATAAACTAGTTTCATTCTATCAAATCAAATGTCCTTTGTTTCTTGTAAAAATGACTCCCACAATATGGAAGAACTATTTACTAAAAGCTTGGAAAACCATTCAACATTTTAATCAATGTTCAAGAATCAACATATCAAACTTCAACAATTCCAAGATTACATAGATATCATTCAAATCCATGTGAGTTCCATCTTGTGAATAAAACAAATGCAACTCATTCCTCACTTCAATCCAACTACACCCTCCACTCTTCTTCAACCCTCTCTCCTTCATCAAATTCCTAGTTTTCATAACTTCACTCCACCTCCCACTTGAAGCATAAACATTCGATAACAACACATACCCACATGACTTCTGTTCCACCATTTCTTGAATCTTTAATCCCACTCTCTCTGCTATCTTATCTTCACCATATGTTTTACACCCACTCAACAAAGCACCCCATGCACTCACCTCTGCTTCACATGGCATTGACATGATCAAATCCTCCGCCTCTTTCACTCTCCCTGATCTAGACAACATATCCACGACACACGTGTAATGTCTCTCATTAGGTATGATCATATATAATTTCTCCATTGAGTTGAAGTAGTAAAGACCCTTGTTCACAAGTCCACAATGAGAACAAGCAAACAAGATTGATAACAAAACAAGCTCATTTGGCTTAATGGAACTCATCTTCTCCATTTTTTCAAACACTTCAAGACTCTCTTCTCCAAAACCGTTCTCTGCTAACCCTTGAATCATAGCAGTCCAAGAAACTTCATTCTTTTCATGCATTTTGTTGAAAACTCTCTTAGAGTTTTCGATATCTCCCGATTTTGCATACATGTCAACAAGAGCAGTGTTCACGAATACATCATGTTGAAACCCGAGTTTTAAGGCCTTTCCATGGAGATTTTTTCCTTTGTTTAATGAGGTTAAGTTTGCACAAGCACATAAGACACTAGAAATGGTGGAGACATCGGGTGTTTGACCTAAAAGTAGCATATCATTGAAAACTTCTAAAACTTTATCATATTCTTCGTTTCCTAAGAATCCTGACACCATTGAATTCCATGATCCGATATTTTTCATGGGTATTTGATCAAATAACTTTTTAGCTTCTTCGAGATTTCCATTTGAGGTATAGGCACTAATCATACTGTTCCAACAAACAACATTCTTGTTCTTGATATTGTCAAACACTGGACGCCCATCTTCAGTGTTTCCACATGAACCATATAAGTCAACTAGTGAACTACTAACAAAAACATCGTTTGACATTCCTAGTTTCATGACATGGGCATGAATGTTTTTGCCTGAATGTAATGCCTTAAGGTTAGCTAAAGCATTAATAGCACTAGAAAGACAAGAGGAATTTGGGGCAATATCATTTTCAATCATTTGGCGAAATAGTTTGATTGCTTCTTTTGCATAACCTTTTTGGGCGTATCTTGAGATCATAGCACTCCAAGAAACTTCATTTCTTTCAGGCATTTCATCAAACACCTTCCGAGCTTCTTCCAAATCTCCCATTTGAACATACATATCCAAGATTGCTGTCCAAGAAATCACATCTCTTTTCCTCATTCTTTCAAAGACTCCACGAGCCATTTCCATTTTTCCTAATCTTAAACTGAATGTTATTAAAGAATTACAAACGGACACATCATCTTCATATCCAAGTTTAATAGCTAAACTCAAAAGGGTCATTCCTAATGAAAAGTTCCCCATTTCAGTAGAAGCTCTTATGATAGAAACGAATGTGACATTATTAGGGTTTACCCCGGATCTTAACATTTCCAAGAAGAGTTCTATTGATTTTGAATGCATTCCATTTGACAACACCCCACTAATTGCAGCTGTCCAAGAAATTACATTCTGAAAAGGGTTTCTTTGAAATAACCACATGGATTCATCCACTCTACCATATTTTAAATACCCAGAAATTAAAGCAGTCCAAGAAACCTCGTTTCTTTCAGGCATTTCATCAAACAGCTTGCGGGCTTCATCTATGTTCCCCCAATCGACATTTGCAGATATCAAACAATTGTGAACAATCATATCAAACCCTTCATAGTCTTTAAGTAATTGATCAACTTCAGATGATCTTCTGAAATCTAGATACATGATGAGTAATTTGACTGCAACATGTCTATGTGATGAAATGCCAATTTTGTACAAATGGCCATGGAGAACTTGGCCTTCTGTGATCAAACGTTGTTTTGAACAATGTCTTAAGATTGAAATGTTTGCTTCAATAAAGCCAACAAAGCTTTTTATTGGATTTCTTATAACAGAAAGACTTTTGAAAATACTCCCCATTTTGAAACACACAAGTTGAATGATGTTGTGTTGGTGCAAAATGTAACATACCCGGTATCCACTTTAGGTCAAAATGGGGTATGGATGCATCCAAAATCTTTGGAATGACATATTGGATGTGGGTTGAAGATAATCGATTAAACTGCAAGAGACGTATCCACAGATTCATAAATTACAAGTTCTACTTATTAACAAGCTCGATGGACATAGCGAAAAAGCATCGTAACGCATTATTAATCTTAATAACTATACGAACGATTCACAAAAACCGACTAAGGTCCTCTAAAATCAAGATGTAGCATGTCCCATTTTCTTCCAAGTCGAACAACAAACCCTAAATAACAAGAAGTACATAAGAAATCGAAACCATACCTGTTAAGAAGAACACTATGCGATTAGACCGAACTTCTTTACGAAGGGGTGGGCAATTTTGGCACCATATAGAGTTCAAACACTGTTTTTCAACCGACCTTAAGCTGTGGAGAGCGGACATAAGATTTTTTATTTAATTTTGGCATGTCTAGTACAAAAAAAACTTAGACCGATAACAAGTTTGATTGAGGGGGAAAAAAATAGAAAAATAAATAAATACAAACACTAAAATACAACACTTCTTTCCACTTTCTTTCTTTTCATTCTCATCACGCTACTGAATGAGCAAACTTGGCTTAGCACCCCCTTGGTGCGTGGCACGGTTGAACGAGCCACTTAGCGACCCCCACTCTCCGTAGTTTAAGGGAGTACTTTATAAGAGAAAATGATTCGGAAGGTTAACGAACTAAGGATTATGACCAAATAAACATATTTTGAGGGCATTTTCCAAACTACAGACATAAAATAGGCTATTTCCACATATAGACATCCAATCCGCGGAGCAACCTCCGTGGGTTTTGCGGAATGAACTTATGCTCTGAAAAATCGATGTGACAAAAAAATACAAAAAAAAGGAAAAAAAATAGAGCTTCGTGGAACTGTTCTTCAACGTTCATCCTTCCGTGGAATTATTCTTCAACTTTTTTTTATGTTTTTTTTTTTGTCACATCGGTTTCTCGGAACCCCGCGGAGCCCTCGGAGGTAGCTCCGCGGATTGCATGTTTATATGTAGAAATGGTCTTTTTTATGTCTATATTTTGGAAAATACCCCCAAAATATGTCTATTTGGGTAATAATTCCAACGAACTATCGTTTTTGTTCACATTTGGTCATTTTTTGTACACTATTTATCATTGAACTTATTTTTTTTTTGAAAGGGAACTTCCCTAACGAGGGTTTCCGGGCCAGCTTTCGCGCACCGACTAATCCCCCGCTGCAAACATGAGGCTTTGCCTTATGCCCTGGAGTCACTGCAGGCGAACCTCCATGGCCACAAGGGCTGAGTGGTGCCAGGATTTGAACATGGGTCAATAGGTTATCCATCATATCTTCCACATGCCTTACCAAGTCACCACAACCCAAGTGTTTTTTATGTTCACAAAAACTATTATGACCGGCTATTATAGGTTTAGCCGGTCAAGTTGAATTTTCCAGCCAATATATGAATTTTATGGTGAATATATGAATTTTCTGGCAAAAGTATTAATTTTTCAACGAATGTATGAATTTTCTGGCGAAGCTATGAACACTATGAATGACTTCATTCCAACATTATATCGACCTTCAATCCAGCTATGGCTACATGAAAAACGTACAAGAAATCGGTGGGGTTCCAAATCGAAAATCTGGAAATCTGTGTGTTCTTGGTTTGTTCTCGTTCTTGGAACAAAACCCTAGAAAAATTGAAAATAAAACATTAGATTGACCTCCATTGAAGTTGTTTGAACAACCTGAACTCGAAACTCGAAGCTGATGAAGGTTCATCCATGGAAGAAAGGGGGCTGGTCTCTATTTTCTTTTTGCAGATTTGGAAAATAGAGAAGAAAATCGAGAACTCGTTTCAAGGTTTTTGCTATGGATGTAAAAACACAAGAATGTATGTGTGTGTGTGTGTGCAGGTGAGTCTCCCGACGATTTATGACCTGCTATCAAAGTTCATCTGTCACACCCCCAAATCGGATGGCGGAAACGTTCGGGGGTGGAACGAGAATCACAATATCACAATAATTATACACATTGAAACACAAGTACATAAACAACCATCATATCATATGATTATAGCAGTTACATGATCCAAGTATTACTTAGTATCAAAATACATTACAAGATTTGCATGTTATCAAATAAAGTTGTTCCCGTAATGATATTTGATGTATTGTCTTCAAAAGTAGTTCCACTGATCCGAGCTTAATTGTTTCCTGAGAGTACATGTCGTTTTAAAGTCAACATAAAGTTTGTGAGTTGATAAGAGTTTAGTTGTAGAAAAATCCGATATTTTTCCGTAGATGAAAATCGTATCTCCGTCTTGTAAAAAGTTTTGTATTTTTACGCCTTCAGCGTAAAAGAAGAATGTATGTGTGAAGTATGTATCCAAAAGCATTTATAAAATAAAAGTTCCCATAACTTCTAAACTTATAAAAAGTGTGACTTGTCATGTGATTTTTATTATTCAAAAATCAAGTGTATAAGTAAATAACCATACTTATAAATGTAGTGTATAAGTAAATAACCATACTTATAAATGTGTTTTGCACTAGAATTTCACTATTCGATGTTATATTGAGTCCTTATAATCGAACTATCGACTGTAATGTTGCCCGCCACGACGCTTCTCGGACGTCGTGAAATGTTAAGACAATTGTCACCATTGACCTGTCGGTCGTGATTGTAGCTAGTAACCATAGGTGGGGGTTGTCAATCCCATATAGATCTATACACAATTCTCCGTCTCATTTAAGATTTAACGATTATAAAGTCGGGACTTAGCGTAATGGTTGAAGAAATGTCTCACACAACCCGTCGAAAGTATGTTATTCTAGGTTGTAAATGAAATCAAAGCTTTCCCATGTTCAAAGTGTTGCTCTACATGTATGTTGGTTACCCAGTGTGTAATAGTATTACCCAATGGATAATGGTATTATCCAAGGGATAGTGGTTTTATCCAATGTGTAATCACAAAGTTTTAATGTTTAAAAACTATACTTTTGGTAAAAATGTTAGTTTGTGTTTATCCAATGTGTAATAATATTATCCAATGGATAAAGGTATTATCCACCATATAATAGATCCAATATTAGAAACTTGTGCATATGAAAGAATGAGACTTGTGTGCTTTCTTTGAAAATATGAATATATGTATATATTTTCATAAATGTAACATAAACATGCATGTAATTGTATTACCTAAAGGTTAAAAGTTTTATCCAACATATATTAGATCTAAGACCTTTGTATAAAGTCATTGTCCAAAATGTATTTTGTTTGTATGACATGTAACCTCCCCCGAAAGTGTAAAATGAGTGAAAACTAGTAGAAAAGGGGGTATAAACTCACCTTTTATGCTTTCCCTAGAAGATGGTATGAAGATGAGGTAAAAATCGAGTGACACCTTCTTGAAACTTCAAGATCTTGCCTAGGGTTTTTGTTTCAAGAGTGAAAATGAGACAACCAAAAGATGATGGTAGATGGTAGTAGAATCTCGAAAATGTGAAGGGAACTTACCCAAAAATACTTGCAAAACACTTGCCAAAATGCCTTGAATCCACTAGAGTGTTCTTGGATGAATTAGAGAGTGTGAATGATTTTTGGAGGTGAAGTAAGGGAGGGGGGAGGGCCTTTTGGCCGAAATTTATAAAGGAGAGGGAGAGAGATGGATTGGTTGCATGGGGAAGTAGGAACATGCTTTCTTTTGATTATAAAAATCTAGGGTTAAGGCCTTCAGATTATAATATATAAAGTAATATTTCTTTTGATTATAATACAAAAAGATGTGATTATGTTGGGATAAGATGGATATGTTGGAAGAAGAGAGACATAATTTGTCTGATATAGTTTTTATATAAAAAAAACTAGCCCTTTTTATAAAAGTTTGACATTTTTATAAAAGTGTGGTGAGATTTGAGAAATTGGTAAGGTTTAATAACTAATAAAAATATTGCTATTTAATATTATTAACAATAATATTAAACCTTAGGATCAAATTATTTTTCTCAAATTCGTTGTATAAAATGTGAGCGTTAAATGTGATAACTCCCATTTTCTTGATGTATGATATTTTTCTGGTAATTAACCGGAGTATCAAGCTAAATACTAGATCATATGATGTTTGAAACATGTTTACGGCTTTGTGAACACGTAAACCTCGTGTCATGAATATTACCCAATACCTGGCAATATTTGTGTGTTTTTATCGAATTGCTACTTTACCATAGTTTATTGTTCACAATTAAAGTGTTTATTCGATAATTTATTCAAAATAAATGCATGTAGTATTATAATATTCAACAATACATTAGGAATGTTATGAAAATTACATTTCATCCTTTTGACCTAATTTACGTACAGTTGACTTTTGTTGACCAAAATTGACGGATGTCACATCATCCCCCCGTTGAAAAGAATTTCGTCCCGAAATTAGTTCTAGATATCGGGCTCCTAGTGATTTGGAAAATTTTGGGGATACTTTCGTTTCATTTGATCCTCGCGTTCCCAAGTATACTCAGATCCCCGCTTAGCGTTCCAGCGGACCTTTACTTTTGGAATGCGACTTTGGTTTGTTTGCTTCACTTCCCTATCCATGATTTCGATCGGTTCCTAGATGAAATTCAGACTTTCGTTCACCTCGATCTCGTCTAACAGGATGACAAGAGTTTCGTCAGATAAGCATTTCTTGAAGTTCGACACGTGAAAGGTGGGATGTATGTGACATCCACAAATTCACTGTCATTTTAAAAAATTTATTTATGCTTATTTGAAAATCAGAGTATTCATTTTTAAAGAATAATATTGCGGAATTTGTTCCCAGAAAACATGATAAATACATATCATCAAAGCATTTCCGAAGAAATGTATTTTGTTTATATTAAAACTTTAGGATGTCATCGTCAATACATAAACATAAGCATAAA